ACTGCCATCAAACAGATGAAAAATAACAAAGCCTCAGGGCCTGATGGACTCCCAGCCGAGGTGTATAAAGCAGGAATCCCCCAAGCTCTTAAAGACGCTTCCATTGTCAATATTTATAAGAACAAGGGAGACCGGTCAGACTGTGGTAACTACCGTGGGATCTCGCTGCTCTCCGTAGCTGGCAAGATTATCGCCCAAGTCCTCCTTAACAGACTCCTTCCTGAGGCGGAAAACTTCCTCCCAGTATCTCAATGTGGTTTTAAATCATCACGTGGCACCACTGACATGATCTTTGCTGCCCGGCAGATACAGGAAAAGTGCAGAGAACAGCATCGTGACCTGTACATGGCTTTCATCGACCTAACCAAGGCCTTCGACTCGGTCAACAGGGAAGCCCTCTGACGGACCCTCAGCCGTTTTGGCTGCCCTCCAAAATTCATCACCATTGTGAGACAACTCGACGATGGCATGAACGGCAGTGTCCTGCACAACGGCACCCAGTCTGAGTTCTTTCCCCTCCAAACGGGGGTTAAACAAAGGTGTGTACTCGAACCAACTCTCTTTTCCATTTCCATGGCTTCCTTACTCGTGCCAGTGCCAATTTAGCCGGCGGGGTGGACATCGAGTACCGGGTGAAGGGAGGTCTTTTCAACATAAGACGACTCCAGGCAGGAACAAAGGTATCGGCAGCTTCTATTTCTGAACTTCAGTATGCAGACGACCTCACCCTTGCAGCTCACACTGAACACGCCCTACAGGATATCCTAAACACCTATGCAGATGCGCATGCGCACTTTGGTCTTGAGGTGAATGTACGTAAGACTCAGATTCTCTTTCAACCTGCCCCTGGTTCAGGCACACCTCCATCATCCATCCAGCTTAACGGTACTACCCTCTCTAATGTTACCCACTTTCGGTATCTTGGCTCCCACCTATCCACCACCGCAGACATCGATCAAGAGATTCAGCACTAAATCAGATGTGCATTTCAAGGTTTTGGCGGACTCCGAAACCGTGTCTTCAGTTGTAGGGAGCTGAAATTATCTACAAAGCTGCATGTATATCGAGCAGTGGTCCTCCCCACCCTGATATATGGCAGTGAGACATGGGTCACATACAGGAAGCACCTCAATGCATTTGAAAAATTTCACCAACGTAGTATAAGGTTCCATCCTCCGAGTTCGCTGGGAAGACAAGAGAACAAATGCCAGTATTCTTGCTGACACCAACTGTAGGAGCATCGAGGCTACCATTATCCATGAACAGCTATGCTGGACTGGCCATGTTACCCGCATGGACGACAGTAGACTGCCAAAGCAGCTACTTTACAGTCACCTAATGAATAGTAAACGTAACGCCGGAGAATAGTTGAAAAGGTATAAAAATAGTTTTAAGACAAACCTGAAAAAGTGCCAAATCGATCCCCTCACCTGGGAGTCGATTACTCCACATCGTTATGCTTGGAGGAGCACCACACGAGAAGGTGTCAATACTTTCGAGTTAGCCCGACTGCAAACCGAGGCAGACAAGCGCCAACGTCGGAAAGACGCTGCCACCGCCCCTCCCTCACTAGATGCAACCCTCCACATCTGCAACGAATGTGGACGACACTGCGGATCCCGTATAGGTCTCTTTAGTCATCTCAAAATTCACCAACCTAGGTGACATCCCTAAGAACTCATATCATTGTATCATAGCTGGATGATCGTCATATTCGATTCTTACTGACAGTAAAGTAGTAGTAGTAGTAGTAGTAGTAGTAGTAGTAGTAGTAGTAGTAGTAGTGTGTGTGTGTGTGTGTGTGTGTAACGACGCAACATGGCTCACACTTGGTGGGGGTGTGGGGGGTTAGGTTAGGTTTAGTTAATTTTAGTAAGCTTTTAGTTATGTTAGCTTCTGTTTGGTTAGATTAGGGTAAGCTAGGTCAAGCTTAGGTTAGGTTTAGTTAGACTAGTTTATGTTAGGTCTGATCAGGTCAGACCAGGTTAGGTTAAGTCAAATTTGATGAGGGCAGACTTTGTAAGGTAATGAGGCCGGCTTGAGAAACATGATGTCGAGCTAATCAACCAATTAAAGTCGTGGCTGACGGTCTCTCCCTAGTCGTGTAGTGTACCTTGAGGAAGAGTGAGTGTTGCTGCCAATGTCCGACAGATAGCACAACGCCCACAGCAACCCCAGGGCGTCACAACCAGATGAAAACTATACAAAAAAATGGCCGCCACATAGAAAAATATCAATAAAAATTGCCATCTAATACAAAAATTCCAACAAAAATGGCCGCCGCATAAAAATATACCAACAAAAATGGCCGCCACATAGAAATATACCAACAAAAATGGCCGCCACATCGAAAAATACCAACAAAAATGGCCGCCACATAGAAATATGACAACAAAAATGGCCGCCACATAGAAATATACCAACAAAAATGGCCACCACATAGAAATATACCAACAAAAATGGCGAACAAAAGTGGCTGCCACATTGAAAAAAAAGAACGACACACATTTACTTAATGGATCACATAATTATATGACATCTGGGTTTACCTTTCACAGCAAATTAACCAAAGACGTGAAATTACACCTGACGACACAGTTTAACCCTTTGAGTTCTGGAGGGTTAAATCATCGTCGTCAAAGTGTTAAATCTCTTTTGACGATGATTTAACCATTTGATGGCGATGACGATGATATAACTCTTTGATGACTATGATTTAACTCTTTGACGACGATGATTTAACCCTTTGACGACGACGATTTAACTCTTTGACGACGATGATTTAACCCTTTGACGACGATGATTTAACTCTTTGACGACGATGATTTAACTCTTTGACGACGATGATTTAACTCTTTGACGACGACGATTTAACTCTTTGACGACGATGATTTAACTCTTTGACGACGATGATTTAACTCTTTGACGACGATGATTTAACTCTTTGACGACGATGATTTAACTCTTTGACGACGATGATTTAACTCTTTGACGACGATGATTTAACTCTTTGACGACGACGATTTAACTCTTTGACGACGACGATTTAACTCTTTGACGACGATGATTTAACCCATTAAGGACTATGATTTAACCCTTTGATGGTGATGATAATGATTTAACCCTTTGACGACGATGATTAAACCCTTTATGACTCAAAGGGTTAAGATAATAGACAACCAATCAACCAATAAGAAGAAAGAATTGAGATTACAGATTACAGATTGCCCACGAGGGGGCTAGTTTATTAAGCACCCCCTTACATCCTGAGTGTAGAGTTCATAGCTGTATGTCATGACCTTTCACCTGTACGAAGAGGGGAGTGAACTGTCGAGGTCACCCGTGATGGCCTGACACACGGGGTCAAACCAGAGACGTGATGGCAACAGAGAAACGAACAGCTAAGGTATGGAAGTCAGGTTAAATGAAGTCCTCCCCAATCCTAAAAGACCTTAACCTAACCTAACCTAATCCAAATAGGTCCCAGTTCAAAGAGGTTCTAAATATAGGGCCCGAGAGGACAGTAGGGGGCCCCTTTTGACGTGCCACCAAGGGGAGGAGGTCCCCCCTACACCAACATATATTACGACCATCCAGAAGGGGGAGTTTTACGTGTCGAGCCTCGTTTGTTTACATTAAATCAACGTTTACGGCCCCACAACTTGTTGACACATGTTGGTTCAACGTGTGATGTGTCTAGGGTGAGGGAGGGAGTAGAGGGTGAGGGAGGAAGGGAGTGGCTCTCATCCCTCCCTTTCTGTAACCCGTGTGTTGAGATGACAGGGTCGGAAGAAGTAAGGGTTGAGAGGGTATTAGTATCGGTGTGTGTGTGTGTGTGTGTGTCGTCCTCCAGTAGATCTCCCTCTAACTACATGTATAAATAAATGTTTGTAAATTAATAAATGGATTATGTAAATATCAAGCATTACCACTCTTGTCACCTGCTCCTATTTTTCTTCTTCTTCTTAGTCCTTTTCCTCCTCTTCATCTTCCTATTCCCCTTCCTACTCCTCCTTTCCTTCGTCATCTTCCTCCTCCTGTTCCTCCTCGTACTCCTAACCTCGGTGATAGTGAGTGAGTGGTCATGCCAGATATGATGTTGGTGAGGTAAAAATGCGAGGAGGAGGAGGATTATTACCCTTATACCTCATGTTGACTCTTGGAGGATAAGGCACACGACACGACCCTTCACCTGTCACCTGAATCACTGCCGTGTTATGAGGTCAGTGACACATCCCTTTACTGTGGTCATGACGCGTTACTGTTACACTACCCCCCCACACACACACACACACACACACACACACACATACCAGCGTGTAGTCGTAAGAGGGACGTGTCTTCAGTAAGGTAGCAACAGATTACGACCTTTAAGAGCTTTGTTCCATATAATCACACACACACACACACACACACACACACACACACACACACACACACTTCAGAGAGGGATACTAATTACTCCTCCGCCCTTCATCCTTAAATACACACATGGTCACACAACCTATGACGCCCCTGTGTGCGTCACTATGAGGTACAGGTGGAGGCGGAAATTTTCAGTGGCAGAGATGTACGAACGTCAGCGACCGTGAAGTGTGTCGCAGCCCCACGACAAGTGCCATGAGAGCTCCTGCAAACAGAGGGAGAGTATTAATAGTCGGTGTGTGTGTGTGTGTGTGTGTGTGTGTGTGTGTGTGTGTGTGACATGATTTCCACACGGTTTTAGGTCAAGGTTGGACTGTTACGTACCTGGGTATTCAAGGAGGAAGGTGTCTCACAGGTGTGTAATCTATACCTTGTCGCAGTCTTATCTTACAAGGGGAGAGGGGAGGTGTTGAGGTCACACCTGTATCCTAAAGTGTATGTTCAGTGTCATGAGGGATAATGTGTCGTCTTGCGGTAATCAGGTTCTCAATACCCAAAATTCCGCTGCACCTCACAAGGGAGGAGGGAGGGAGTGGGTTGTGCGACTTGGCAGTGGGCCCGTGAACTCCTTTGGCTCGACTGTGGCAGAGTGTCTTGGTGAGGGCAGAGTAGCGGCCGCGTTGTAGTGTTGTGGTGTTATGTGGCCACTAGTGCCGGGCTGCTGCTGATCTAGAGCCCCTACCGTCGCCTTCTTCATGTGCTGACCCTTCCTGGTGAGTGAGTGAGTGAGGGCGTGGAGGCGTGTGTGTGGTGTTGTGATGGTCGTGCTGGTGGCGGCGTCCGCTGCCCACAGACACGATGCATCTCGCCGGCGGCGTTGTTGCGTATTTAGAACGCTCGACAGTACGACTTGCCCCACCGCTCACACGCTGACCATAAGTGGAAATGAAGTGTTCCTAAACTCTGATTAACATGTGTCTGAAGGAATTACCTGGATAACCTGGCCCTCACACTGTTTATTTGTCGTTTCAGGTGCAGAGCGACGCCCGGTCCTCCTCCTCCGAGTGTCATCGACAAACTAACGACTTCCGAGACGCAGCGCAACGAACCCTCGACTTCTCTCTCTCTCTCCAGCAGCGACCGTCAACCCTCTTGGTTCGGGGCGAGTTTTAACGGGGAATCCTTAAGCGATTTCCTTTACCGTGATAGTGCTGTGATGCGGTGCCAGGGGCTCTAGTGTGTATCTGGCGAGCTTAGAAAAATAAAAGAAGAAAAAAATAAGAGAGAAGTGCTCAGTGCTTAAGATAACAGGACTGTTTTTTTTTACTACACTCAAGTGGTAACCAAGAGACTCTGATGTTGAAGGTGTGAGGTCGTGGAAAGAAAAGAAGAAAAAAAAAAGCGAATCAACACTTTACATTCACGTGTGGTATAGTTTCTGTGATAAGACATAACTTGAAAGTAGCGTTGGTCTCAAGAATTAAAACAAGAGTGTGTGTTTGTGTGTGTGTCGGATATACAGAGACTCGTCACGTTATACAGAAGTGATCTAGTGAAGGTCTAATTTAACTGTGAACAAGAGCACCTCGACGCGACAGAGGACTAGATAAGAGTGGAGATAATGGAGGGCAAGAGAGAAAGGAACACTCGTAAGGAGAAAAACTTCGCACAGGTAAGATGAGAATTGACCTCTGAGAATCACCTGAGGAATCTCTACACACACCCAACCGCCCTAACGCTACGTGAGGGCGGGGTTAGGTTAGGGTGGTTAACCTTTGGGTGAAATACGCTTGGGAGGTTAGATTAGGTTAGGTTAGGGTGGTTAATCTTTGAGTGAAATAAGCTTGGGAGTGTGGAGATTCTTCAGTTGATTTGACCTTTATTTATTGTCTGAGTTTATACACCGAAAAGGTAAGATTTTCCTTACTGAGAAATGGTCTACGCTGACGGTAAATTATTAATAGTAGTTTACATCCGAGTGATTTGTAAAGTTCAGCAAGATTAGTGTACACCCAGAAGGTATAATATATTCTCTTATTTACAAATTTACTTTATAAACAGCAACGATAATGACACCTGTGTTTACAAGAGGTTTACATACAAGATGAAATGAGTAAAGTGACGATTAGGCACCTTAGTTTATTTCCCCTGATGATTAGACGTCCTAACCTAACTGAACGCTAACCTAACCTAACCTAACCTAACCTAACCTAACCTAACCTAACTACCCCACCCCCAAGGTAGCGCTAGGGTGTGGAATCATCAGGTGAAATAAGCTGGGGTGCCGAATCTTCACGTAATCCAATAAAATGCCAATAATTCGTTTTGTACAGTATATGTATTTACTTTACATACAGACAACAAAAACGATATGTTATTGTTTACACGTATCGTCATAATAATGTCATACAGACTATATAATGCCTCGTGACTCCAGTGCTTGGTCGTCCATACAGCCATCACGGAACACTCACTAGCCCTCCAACATAGTTCTCCCTTGACTCTTAGACACGACCATTTTCTATGAACGTTCTTTGTTGATGTTTTCTTACCGAGGCGCACATTTCAGTTGGGTCCGGATCCATTGAGGTTACTATTATAAATATTTCTCTTAATTGTCAGTGTAACAATACAGGTTAAGGATTGACTTAAAGGTGAAGGACAGAATTAATATCCAATTATAACACTACATTACAGTGAGACAAAAAATAATATAGAATCGTTTTAAAAAAAATATCCAGGATTTTTTTTTCTTTATTAAATATTTGCTACTTTATATAGTTTATGTCTAATGCATAAATTGACTTGGTGTTGAAGAACGATAATACAGTATATTACAAAAGAAAATAACAATTCTTCAGTTAGGGATAATATTGATGGCAGGGACTGTGGTGACTATATGGGCCAGGCAGTTGACACTCTGACACTCATGATGTTTTAGTCACTTACAATTTAAATAGTAATCATCAACAATATTAATAACACCATAATATTTTTGTTAACACATGAACATCAGTGTTAAATATTATTGTTTCATTAAAGTTCGTCTCCTTTTGTTTCTTCATGTTGTTTTATTAACTTTATTTACAAATCCTTTACGTGTTGTCGCTTTCTGTGTCTTGACTTCGTGTGACCTGTGTTGGCCGCAGGAGGAGAGCGGCTGGATGGTCGGTCAGGATCCTCAACAAGGCAGCTACTGGCGGAGTCCTTCCCTCACCCGACGGAGGAACTACTCGGTAACCCCGTGTGACCCCGTGTACTCTATAGCTCTGACCCTGTGTACTCCATAGCTCTGACCCTGTGTACTCTATAGCTCTGACCCTGTGTACTCTATAGCTCTGACCCCGTGTACTCTATAGCTCTGACCCTGTGTTGAGTTTGTTGATCTTTTTTGACCCCGTGTCGATTTTGTTGTGACCCCGTGTAGAGTTGTGACCCACAAGTCGAGTTTGTTGACCTTGTTTGACCCCTTGTCGATTGTTATGAACCGATGTACTCTGTAGCTCTGACCCCATATCGAATTACTGACTTTTTTGACCCCGTGTCAATTCGTGTAGAACGTATTAATCCAGCTGACTTTGTTTAACTCCCTGACTATCATGTCGACACCTGAATGCCCCCCCCCCACCCAAGGTCAACCCAGATGACCTCAGCATTGCTCCTGTGTTTATTTCGTTTCCTCTGTTGACCTTATCTGACCTGCACGACCTATCTCTTTTTCTTTAAAGGTTATTCTGTCAGTCACTATTATAATATAGGAAGTAACGAATACGGTGAAACCTTCATATAACGGACTTTTTCTCCACATAACGGACTTTCTCTCCACATAACGGACTTTCTCTCCATATAACGGACTTTCTCTCCATATAACGGACTTTCTCTCCATATAACGGATTTTTCTCTCCATACAACGGACTGCTCTCAATATAATCCGTTAGAGGAGGTTTCATATCTAATGGACCCATCGATATAACGGACGATGGTTTAACCGTTAAACCATCGTCCTCAAATGGTTAAGTGCCAACATGACATTATAAACCAAATCTGTGTAGTGGTGATTGTGAGAGAACACAGGTAAACAGGTATACTTTAATAAACCAGTGTTGACCCAGTGTGGTGGTATAGTGTGGTAGTGTGGTTTTCGGTACACTTTGGTAGACTCGTGTGGTGGTATGAGGGTGGTGTGCAAGGGATGGTGTGGTGGTGTGAGGGTGGTGTGCAAGGTATGGTGTGGTGGTGTGAGGGTGGAGTGCAAGGTATGGTGTGGTGGTGTGAGGGTTGGGTGCAAGGGATGGTGTGGTGGTATGAGGGTAAAAAGGTATGGTGTGTAGGCTGGGGTGGGCGTGTGTGGTGGTGTGAGGGTGGGGTGCAAGGTATGCTGTGGTGGTGTGAGGTGCAGGGGTGGTGTGGTGGTATGAGGTGGGGTGCAAGGCATGGTGTGGTGGTGTGGAGGGTTGGGTGTAAGGTGGTGTGAGGGGTGGGGTAAGGGATGGTGTGGTGGCATGAGGTGAAAAGTGCGATGTGGGTGGTGTGAGGTAAAAGGTATGGTGTGGTGGTGAGGTGGGGTGTAAGGTATGGTGGTGTGGTGGTGGTGTGGTGGTGGTATCTATCTCGGATGTATCAAGGAAAAGACAGATATTCACACACACACACACACACACACACACACACACACACACACACTGTATATATACACACATACATACTACTACTACCACACACACACACACACATCACTACTAATACTACATGATATACAAGGACGGCAGACAGGAAATATATCACGCACAGCAGACAAAACACAGGTACACACAGGTAAGAATTCGCTCATCAACAGACAACATCAACACGCGCTAGCATCCGGCAGCCAAGCATTTTAACCCAGTACCTACCTGTAGCAGAGGGGCAACACCTGACGGAGGGGGCGTTACGGCGTCAAGGTCAGAAGACGTGACTGAAATATTTCGGGTCGCACTATCACTGAAGATGCTATATATGGGTACAATATGTTGGGTTTAAATGAGGTTGGACTTTTAAGTTTGGTTAGGTTAGGTTAAGTGAGGGGGGGTGGGAGGGTTAGGTATATATGAGAGTGTATTGTATTTTATTATTATTATTATTATTGTTGTTGTTGTTGTTGTTGTTGTTGTTGTTGTTGTTGTTGTTATTATTGTTGTTATTAATGTTATTATTATTATTATTATTATTATTATTAAATAAATATAAGATAAATATGATATTGTTTTCCTAAGAGCTTAGTGTATGTGTGTGTGTGTGTGTGTGTGTGTGTGTGTGTTGTTAAGCACCGTTCACTAGGTCTCAGTAAAGGTTATTAACAGAGAGAGATATTTCACACGATGCCCCCACCCCCTTGAGAGAAAATCCTGACCAAGTGATGTGCTGAGAAACACGAGACACACACACACACACACACACACACACACACACACACACACACACACACTACATCCTTGACCACCGAAGGGTCAAGACGTACCCATACTAACTCCCTCCCCTGAACCCTCCTCCCCACCGGAATATCAACAAGTTCTCGCCAGAAGTTACAATTTCATTTAGGAAAGGAATGGAACCAGTGTTAAACAGAGGTGAACAGTGGTGAACAATGATTAGCTAAGTCCAGTGAGAACAACTCAACAGTAACAGTCATACCCAAGTTAACCTTCACACAGTGGGGTCCCAGAGTGCCAGTGATAACGGCGGTGAGACCCGCTGCTGCTTCAGCGATGTGTTAATCCGTCTACGATAGGCCACGGGACCCTCACTCATATAACACCATCTGTGAGGGAATTACTACACCGTCAGTCTCATGCCATCTGAGGAGTACTACACACGTGAGGTCCTCATAGCACCATCTGTGGGGGAATTACTACACCACGTGAGGTCCTTCATAGCACCATCTGTGAGGGAATTACTACACCACGTGAGGTCCTTCATAGCACCATCTGTGAGGGAATTACTACACCACGTGAGGTCCTTCATAGCACCATCTGTGAGGGAATTACTACACCACGTGAGGTCCCTCATAACAACATCTGTGAGGGAATTTCTACACCACGTCAGGTCCCTCATAACACCATCCGTGAGGGGTTACCACCATGGGCTACTTGCTTTACCATCTGTGAGGTAATTACTACACCACGTGAGGTCCCTCATAACACCATCTGTGAGGGAATTACTACACTACGTGAGGCCCCTCATAACACCATCTGCGAGGGAATTACTACACCACGCCAGGTCCCTCATAACACCATCTGAGGGAACTACTACACCACGTGAGTTCCTCCTAACACCATCTGGGAGGGAGTTACTACACTACAAGTTTGCTGTTCAACACCTACATTAATCTGTATGTTCACTGTATGTTCCTTTACCTTTCTCTAATGAAGGCTTTTGTTAAACCACCAATGTATGTAATAAGTCATTTATGTCCAATGAATATTTTCAGCCTTCGGGCTGCAGAATTTTTTCAATAAACCGCTAATTATTATTATCATTATTACACACACACACACACACACACACACACACACACACACACACACACACACACACACGGACGTAACTACACTTCACCATTGTTCACACAGGCCTTTCAAGAGAGGTGGGTTAAGTGCAGGTGTTATTGTCGTGGGCTAAACTACCCATTGTGAGGTGAGGAAATAACAGTGGTGAGAAATCCGGCCCATGAGACTGATACAAAAAACAATCATGTGAAGATTAGACACCCTGTAGCTTATTGCATCTGAAGATTAAACTACACCCTAATGTTAACCTAACCTAACCTAACCAAACCTAACCTTACTAACATTACTCTATCCAGTGATCAGATATACACGGGAAATTTAATCGACAATACCTTAATATTTCGATCTAGTATATATACCTGAACGTATCTGGTTCAATTAGTATAATAGGGATGGTATAGAAACCACAATTGGGACACGGTATTAGGAGTTAATTGGCTCAGTTATAAAGTATATAGATTATCCCCCCCCCTAGGAGCTAATTACAGGTTGGAGAGGAGAGATTAAGGGTTTATTTACACCGGGGAGGGAGGGGAGGGGAGGGAGGAGAGGGAAGAGGTTAATGATATATCAACCCCTCCAACTTCCTTTCTCTCTCTCTCTCTCCTCTTCTTCCCTCTCCTCATTCTCTCCTCCTCGTCCCTCCTCTTCCTTCTCCTCATCTCCCTCACTTCTCTCACCGACTCCCCTCTTCCCCTGCCCCTCTTCCCCTGTCCCCTCTTCCCTGCCCCCCCCTCTGTGTTTGTTGACACGGCTACCAAAGTGTTTGTATTCACGGACTAATTAAAGGTAAAGATTTATTTTGTTCAGCAGTGTCGTGTGTGTGTGTGTGTGTGTGTGTGTGTGTGTGTGTGTGTGTGTGTGTGTGTGTGTGTGCGTGTGTGTGTGTGTGTGTGTGTAAGAGAGGCAGAGTATTGCGTGATGCAGTATGGTTAACTTGACAATGGTCGACTAATGACACACACACACACACACACACAAACACACACACACACCGCCGCTTTCATGGTAAGTTAAGACACTGAGGTGGTGGTCAGCGTCTCTAACTGTTGTGTTGTAACAGGCTGATTTACCTCAAGATTAACCCCTCATTTCCCCTGCTTATAACACCTGAAGATTAACCACCTAATCCATATTTAACCTAACCTAAACCCATTTCCACACCAATCCCCACCCCTCCCCCAAGGTAGCGTAAGGGTGTTTAATTATAGGTGTAATTTTCAGGTGATCGCTGGTTAGGTTAGGTTAGGTTGAGTTAGGTTAGGTTAGGGTTAGGTTAGGGTTAAAGGTTAGGTTAGTTAGGCTAGGTTGTGTTAGAAGTAGGTTAAGGTGTTTAATTTAATCATCAAAAATAATCAGGGAGGGAAGTAATCTTCAGGTGATCCAAATTCTTAGAAAAATACAAAACAATTCTGAAAAAATTGTGTGTGTGTGTGTGTGTGTGTGTGTGTGTGTGTGTGTGTGTGTGTGTGTGTGTGTGTGTGTGTGTGTGTGTGTGTGTGTGTGTGTGTGTGTGTGTGTGTGTGTGTGTGTGTGTGTGTGTGTGTGTGTGTGTGTGTGTGTGTGTGAGAGAAGTGACCGCAAGGCCTCCTCCACAGCGGTTGACTCCCAAGGTAAAATCACTAGGGAAATAACTGCTACCTGGACAGCCAATAATAATCAAACAGCAGTAGAATAATTATTATGAGACA